TATGAACATGGAGATCACCAGGCAGGTCAGATCTGTGGAGAGGTGAACCCGCTCTCAAAAAGAATACATGTTTTTTAATGTGTTTTTTGAGCCATACAACACTTGCAATTGAATAAATGAAAGATAAATATTTGTAATTCTATACTCACATTAACATCGCTTTAACATTTTCACGGAGACAATCAGGTGGCAGAACCCTCCACTAGAAAAGCTTCATAGCGCAGCTTTAATTAAACAAAACAATTAGAGAACTGAAAAAAGCAGATGGACTCAGGCATTTACAACAGTGATTTATTTGGGTTTAAAATAGACATGTCTGTTTGAATGATTCAGATCGGCAGACGGATCTTTGAACACAGCCAAGTAACTGAACGCTTCAGTAGTGTATTGCACATCCACAGGTAACAGAAGACTTTTGCAACATGCATAGGTCAGAAGTCCTTATATCTCCACAGAAAATGGCTGCGCTGGCCCATAAACTACTAGTGTTAATACGTTTACAATGAATTTAGAAGTGTTTGGGATTAGCACAAAATTCAAGCCAGTATATGACAAAAACGCCTTTACATATATTATAATTGTATTGCTGGCCAATCACAGAGTCCATGTGTAATACCATTTAGGGTGACCACCTGAACTGAAGAACTTGTAGAGTACGGTGGGACGTAGGTTAATAATAAAACTATTTAAAGGTGCATTGTGTCTATGGAGATGTGCCTAGAATGTTCCACAGTATCACCATAAATGTACGAATCTCCATGGAGACTTGCAAGACAAATTATAGGTTAGATTTGTGGAGAGGCGACCCCACTCACAGTAAGAATGGCTGTTTTTGAGCAATAAATAACATCTGCATTCGAATAAATGCAACGCAGAATAGTTTAACACCGTACTGTGGACAATTTAAACTAAAGCATTAACATCACCATGGAAACAAACAGGTTGTGGACCCCCTCCAGAAAAGTTACACAGTGTATCTTTAAGTTCATGGATAATAATAGTAATAACACCTTAAGATTTTGAGTTGTTATCAATCAACGGACCTGAAAATCTTGACTTTTTGTGAAAATTAAAATTTATTCAAACCTCACATTTTATAATTCATAAAGCATCAATGAAAAACTGGAGCGTTCTCAGATTAAACATGGGACAAAGAATCAAAACATGGGTAGGTGGTCACCCTAGATTTACATTATTTGAAAAGATGTTGCCTCATAAAATCTTCCCATCAAGGTTAAGTTACAAAGTAGACAATCTCTCTTTAGTAACGCTTCTTTAAATCATTGAATGTTGTCAATAAATGTTGCAATAGCCTCAACAACAGGAGTTTAAAGTGCATATGACAGGTTTAAATGTCACTAAAGCATAGTTAAGATTTTACTAAAAAAATAAATATAGTGTATTTTTATTTAAAATTTTGGTGAAGTTTGTAATTTTACATCCTGGCTGCACATCCATAAAATTACCAAGGGTCAAAACTTCTCAAAATTACACAATAGTTATGATTAAAACCAATAAAAATAAATGACAACACCTTTATTTTGTTAAATTTAGGTTTAAACAGCCAGATAAATACCATTCATCTGCATTTTGAATCACATTTTCAGAGTGAACTCACCACTACTTTATGTATTTTTTATCCACAAAATGCGACTTAACTCATGTAAAACTATGAAAAATATTTAAACCAGCTACTTTTTCACCAAAACCAAGTCATCGAAAACCATAAAAACCTGTCATAAGCTCTTTAAACTGGACTCAGCCCTTGTTAACTGCATTCTGGGAGCTAAGGAGATAAGTAACTACTCTAAAAAGGAAAAGTACATTTAGAAGCCTCCATCTGATAAACAGTAAACCTACTTTGTTAAGGCAAGTGGTGACCAATACGGTTTAGAGCTTTTGCAAAAGAATGAGCAGATATTTTTGAAACACGTTGCAAAGAAAGTAAGCGGTGTTTACCTACGAATCAGTGCGGAAAAAACGTGCACTCTGCTTGATGCGATTAGCCACAACTACCCAACACAACACCCGTCAAGTATAAGACCACATCGAATTTACACACTTAAGGCCAGACACTACGCGTAAAACTCATTATATTCATATTTTTGTGTTTTGTCAGTTCAACCTCACATGAAAACTTAAAATAAGTTGTGCAAGCTGCAAGAAAAATGTGATATTGTAAGAGTGATCTTAGAAACTTTACACCAAACTTTCCAAATTTTCGTTGTTTCACAGTTTGACCATAAACTTACAAATCTCCATGGAGACTTGCAAGCCAAATTACAGGTTAGATCTGTGAAGAGGCGACCTCACTTGCAGTAAGAATTCATGTTTCACTATATTCTTGTGCAATAAATAACACCAGTAATTGTATAAATTAGTAAGTAAGGCAGATAGTTTAATGCCATACTGTGGACAATTTAAGCTCCATGGAGACAAACGGGCCTTCTCCAGAAAACTTACACAGTTAATCTTTACATTAGAATTTTACAGCAATTTTCAGTAAGATCTATTTTAAATTTCAATTGTATTTCTTGTCTAATATGTCAACAAAATGAAACAGTACATTTAAAACTGCTCTATCCATGTCCCAAAAACACATAATTTTGTCAATTTTACACATAAAATACCTTTTATTTATATATCACCTCTTCTCCCTGGCATTTAATATGAGCTAGTCAGGTTATCTTGGTGTTTTTATTGTAGTTTTCACATGTTATCTGTATATGTAGCTGTTTTTGTTGACTTGTATGTGAAGCACTTTGGTCAGCTGACGTTGTTTTAAATGTGCTATATAAATAAACCTGAACTGAATTGAATTTGAACAAGAAAACAATAATGAAAAGTGTTTTTATTTTTTCAGCAAACTGCAAAAGAAGTTTCAAATTGATAACTAAAAATTGTTTTCTGGTTCACCTGCAGTGTCTGGTCTTGGTGGTTTAAGTGCTCAAGTGCCTTAGAGTCTGTGGTCCAAACCTAGTCGTCCCCCTCTCTCCGATTGCTCATCACATATGTCATTTAACACAATAAATCTTTTCTCTATTTGCTTATAAAGTTGTATCATACAGTGTCTATTTTATTTACCAAAACGATGAATAAGTGCACTTTGAAAAATCCCACTGATTAGAGAAACATGTTATATTATCTTATATTCACTACTGAACTGGTGTCACATGCTATAAATATAAAATAAGGTGGAAATACACAAGTGTTTGTAGGGATCTAGCGTTGCTGCTTAAAGGCGTACCGTGTAACTTTTCCGGTGGAGTGTACGCCATCTGTTTCCATGGAGATGTCATTTCTTTTCCCGGGATGCTCCACAGTATGACATTAAACGGATCCATCTCCAAAAGTCAGATCTGTGGCAAGTTTTTCGGATTTCTTTTCAGTAATAGCAACAAACAGATAAATAGTTTAGTTTAGGTTTAATGCCATACTGTGGAACATTCCAGAGAACGCATTAACATCTCCATGGAAACAGGAAGAGGACAGCCCCGCCGGAAAAGTTACGCCTTGCACCTTTAACACAATGAGGAAATTATTAATGCATTAGTCATTCCAAGTGCTTTTAAGGATTTTTATATAATTTTAACATCTTTTTTTTTTGTACAAAGCAAGATTTTGTAATATGCCCTTTCAGTCAAGGCAAGCCTCTGGTGAGTAAACCATAAATATTTCGTGCTGGGTGAAATATAATTATCTATCTCTTCTCAAAAAGTTCATTTAATTTTTTTTATGTTTAGCCAATGCAGCTGTATGCGTACGGCTCAGGTTTCTGTTGTCCTTGGTTTAAAACGAAACACATTTAATATTTTAGCTCTTAAATTCTAATGTTATTATGAGCCAAGCCAACCAAAACCCTTTAAATAAAAAACTATGATGGAGATTCACAGGAGCAGAAAGGTGAACAAACCCATTCCAGTTGGATAGACAAAACCAAATCAGAATACACAAGAGACAACCCCAGACTAGAATCGTGAAAAACACAATTTAAACGAACCAAAAGCGTTACGTTAAGTGAATCTGACCTAATTATGTGTTGATCAAAATAAATATTCGACATATCCAACAAAAATCTTAGCTTCAAAACTGTCTTTGGCTAAATGTTTAAATTATTTTTGATCAATTCATCTTAAAGTCGCAATATGTAACTTTCATGGTTGAAGAGATGGTATTGCTTTGCCTGGAATATTCCGCAGTATTTCATTAATCTGTTTCTGTGGAGAGAAGCAGGTGTTGCCACGGGGGCCAGGTTATAGGTCAGATCTGTGGAGAGGTGACCCCACTCAAAGTAAATATTTTTCAAGGTGTTTTTGAGCAATAAAAATATTCATAATTAAATAAAAGCTCAATAGAAAGGTTTAATGCCATACTGTGGAACATTCAAGCAAAAGCAATAACGTCTATGCGGCAAGCAGATCAGACCACTCACCAGAAAAGTTACGTAGAGCGGCTTTAACCTGATATCACCAAGGAAAACAGATAAACTGATCCGAAAAATCCTTCTTTTGGTTTGTTTTATAACTTTTTTACAATTTCTGTTTTCTGCTATAGAGATTTTTACAAATAGTGAGAAAGTGCTACTTAGGCTATGTTCCAAAGTGTATTATTTTTTTCTGTGTAGTAAAAGACAAAGTTTCCCTGTAAAAATCGAATATCTACACCTCCGAAATCAACTCTCAAATCAAAATACAGTGCATCCAATGAGACAAACTTCACTTAAATAACATATGCTTTGTAAATGACATTAGAATCAAAGTTCTCCTTTCAATAATAAATAACTCTGTGCTTTTGAGCCTTTTAGCTTAACAAAATAAAACATTACATCTCTTATATCTGCTTTTTACCAGCAGCTCTCTCCCTTTACTTAATAATAAATTGTCTTTGCAACAGCTAGATGACTCATTTCTTCCTAAAATACAAATAAAAACATACTTTGTACATAATTTAAATATACTCTTCACACATACACATTCCAATAAATACAGAACGGGGAGAAATAATTATGTAAACAATATAATAACATAACGAGCAATGTCAGGAGAAGCACAAATGCAGACGCAACTTTTTGTCACTGTGCAAAATGTCCATGTGCGCGCCGCCCCCTTGTGGTTTAACACAGGTACAGCAAGCGTGTGACAATTTTCAATAAAAATAAAAAGCAACAGATATTCATACAAATGTACCTAAGATCCTAAAACACTTTGTGGTGTACATTCAGGAACATTCATGTTGCGTGTGAAAAAAACAACAACAACAAAGCAATAACAAATAAAAGAAAATGAAATAAAAAAATTAAATTAACATATTCACAAGAGGTGTGTATGAAGCCTATTTCCATACAGTATCATATGTTACAACTTATTACTAGGGTCTAGCAGAGTCCAGTGGTGCAGGGTCAGTTATAGCTTCTCCTTCGAAGGGATCCAGATGTAGGGGCCTGCGTTTTCCTCTATGACCTGTTTACACTGATTATAAATTTCTTCTAAAGTGTCACCTTGAACCAGCGCTGTGAACAAAGAAAAATATTACAGATTATGTGCACTCAAAAAAGATGGAATAAACAGTAACAGTTAACTGGGTTGAATATTTAGACTGTTCAAAGTTCACATTTTAAATCCAAGAGCAGAAAGACAAAAAGACTGACATTTGAACTGGAAAACTGATACAAAGATCACATTTCAGAGCAGATTTGTACAGATTTAAACAACAGAGACAGCCGTTTTTATGCAGAATAAGACAGGATATTTTATTGTTTGTGGAGGAAACTTAGCCAGGCTGGAGCCACCTAGTGTCTCCGCTCAATTTCATTTCTTTCCAGCAACTAGGTCAGGAATCGGAATACATTAGATGGCTTGCAAGAACCCCAGAAGTGCAAGTCCGGGTACCAGCCAATCAGAGAAGAGCCATATAGAGCCATCGAGGAGTTAAAGCCGGAACAAAGAGAATGTTTGGTGAATTTCATCAAGGGGAAAGACATTATTGCCCTTCTTCCCACGGGATTTGGGAAAAGCTTAATATAGGCGAGTTTCATTGTTGACAAAAGCGTGCCTTGCATGCTGGGAATTATTTTGGTCGGCGGCAATAAACACTAATTCAACATGACGGATGGAGCGAGAAAGCACGTAAAGGGTATTAATTACGGTTATTTATCCACTCTAACAGCAGAGGACCGAAGACGATTTGACCAGAAATTGGTCATAAGCATCGATGGAGCCAAATCACACTTTTCAACCCCTACAAAGGGTGGACCAAACTAAATTTCTGGTCGGAATCACCAAGTACCTGGACAAATATTCACTTTGGCGATATCCACAATTACTTGGTGGAAACTCCTGGGCCATTCACAGCGGAAAAGATGAAAGCCTCCAAGAGTCTCGATGCGTTGTTGAACTTGTTGGAGTCCACGGTTTGTTAGGATCTTCTACGTTTGCTCTGCGGATGTTTGAAAGCCATTTAATTCGCCATTAGTGATTCTTTTCACTCGGAATACGAAAAAGACATTTTCCTTCTTCCGTGCTTCTATTTGTGCATCCGATAATGCAGCAGGAATTTACCATTATTGGGGATAAATACGCGAGGTTACGTGTTTCTTGCCTCCGACCAAAATATTTCCCAGCATGCAACGCGGGCTTTTAATAACAATGATGTCAGCTGAAACTCGCCTATACCAGTTAGCCGTGTTAGCGGCGCATTACACACGTCACAACCAAATAGCAGCGATTGGTTAAATAAATAAAAGTACCCGCCTACCGTCGAGTGAACAAATCTAATGCTGTGAGGTCAGATGGTTTCCACAAAGTGAAACTGGCTGATGAATCAAGCTAGAGGAAACTATGGTACTTTAAAAAATTGCCTTCTTATTTGTAATTATTGTTTAGAAAATACTTCTGTCCTCTACGCTGTATGAAAATGTGACTTGAGCAAAATGTATTCATTTATTTATGGTTCATTTGAATAGGGAAAGCTACAACAAACATAGATTAACAATTAAGTAATCTAATGCAGGTATCACAGTTTTATAGCCTAGGCTAATTGGCCAGTCCTCAGAAGGGCTGGTAAAACTTCAGATTTCACTAAAAAGTAGAGGAAGTTATCTTAGAGATAAACTGTATAAGCTGCTCTTGAGGTCAAAATAAGTCCACTATGTTTTATCTGCAGCTAATCAAGAAGCATTTCCCTCTCATTTAATGTCTCTCTCTCTTCTAAATTTTATGATAATTATTTATGTTTTGTTTGTATTGTGATTTTAATGTATTTCTTATTCTGTAAATCAATTACTGTAAAGCAATTACTTTGTGTATGAACTGTACTAGACAAATAAACTCGCCTTGCCTTGCCATTTTATTGTTCAGTAATCAGGAAGTACTCGTTCGCATTCTAGGTGTTGTTAGCTTTATTGTCATGACAAAACTCTGCTCTGATATATCTAGTATCTACCCGTCTATCTAAAAGGGCACCAGGTTTGACATGTTTCCTGTGGTGTCTTTTTTTTCAGTTTCATTTTGCTTTAATATCAGTTCTGTTTCTGTTGTGCCGTGTAAAATCCAGGCAGCGGGACTGTTTAATCAATAAACGCGCGTGTGTGTGTGAGACTGCTGCGTGGGGTCACATATGAGCACACACACATACACACACGGTCGGCTTTGATTAAAAATACCTGTGAAGAATTCTCCAAACTCCTGCTCCAACTTCAGCGCTCGGTCAAACGTCTTCTTGGCTTGTTCCTCTGTCAGTCTCTTATTCATGTCCCTTTGAAAAACATCGTACAAATGTTATTAAATTGTAAGTGTTTCATTAATTCTAGATTTCACTGTTGTTCACTGAATGGCATAAACATAGAAAGACCTTCCTTATTTCTGTCTTTGAGGGTTTTCCCTGACAACACCTGTCCTGTCTGTGGCTTTTTCTTTAACACCTTTCTTTAATTTTTTCATCTTTGCACTGTTTCTCCTCATGACCTCTTATATATAGCTGTATTTTGTTTTTACTTGTACATTTACATAAAATGATGCCTTATCTGACACTAGTCTCTTGCTATTTTTGCTACTTATTTTGCTTATCATTTGCATTTATATTTTTGCTCTGTGTTATTAGAAAACATTGTGATGTGTGAGCTACTATGTCCAAATAATTTCAGTTGTGGATCAGTAAAGTTTATCTAAGTCTCAAGTCTAGCAAATTCAGTGTGCTGCTTTTTTAAATTCACAGTTACACTTCTATGTTCCCTAAAAATGTCATGCAGAGCAGTGACAGTGTTATGAACCAAGTTACACCCTTAGACTGTGAAAAGAAGTGGACTAAGTGAGTGTGGCGTCACCCAAAGTGTTCGTCTCCTCAGTTAAAAATGTGCCACTTAATGGAAGCCGGTTACGTTTGTACCCCTCTGAACCTCGAATGCACCCTGAGTCAGTTTGGTCTGCACCGGGGCCTGAGTTATAGCGGCTAATTTGGAGCGGAAATCTGGAATTTGGAATTCCAAGTGTGAGAATCATAGCAACCAAAGAGCCAGTCAGGAGCAAGAGTGTAAGAGTGTTGTAGGTAATGCCCCTTCTCGCCCACAGCTTAGCAATGTTGTCAATCAAGCCTGTTGTAAAGCTAGTTGGGGCAAACAAGGCTCCTAATTGGTCATTTATTGATGCTTATATCTTGATTTAGGGACGAAATAGCAAATTACAGAGAAAGGGGTGACAGTTTTTCCAATCAGAAGTGAATCCGAGTCGATGGAGCAGAACTGTGCCCATGCTCATTTATATTTGGTGTCCATTTACGTGTCATTTGTCTGTGCTTTAAGGTTGTATGAGCCTAAAAGACAAGATAAAAATGTGAGCAATACTTACATTAATGAATCTACAGATCTGGGTTTGATGAAGATGGCCACAGGATACAGTTGTGCTACTTGCAGCCGCTTGATGGCGTTTCCAGAGACATCGAGAATACAGTGTTTACCCTGAAACAGAAAGTAAAAGTCTGTTAATAAAAAAATATTCAAAATTCTCAAGACAAAAGGCAAAACTTGTGAAAAATAATGCAAATTCAGTGAAGAAACTGGAATTATCCTCAGAATATCACAAAATATTTAAAAAAATCAAGGTGGTTTAAGTCGATCATAAACTCAGACACATGTGAGTGACATCAGAGCCCAATTGATTTACATTTTTTGTTTATACCAAGATTATGATACACACTAATCTTTATATTTTTGGATGAAGTCAAACTCCTAATGCTTAGGTTTCTCTGAATGGACAAACAGTTTTTCAATTTATCTACAGATTAAAAATTTGAGGCTAGAAATTAGTCAGAATAAATAATGGTCACTCCAAATATCAAAGAAAAAGTAAAGCCTCAATGGTGTATTTGAGGCAGAAAACTACATCAGTAAAAGTAAACTGGTCCTGACACATTTGACTAGAGCGGCAGAGTCTCACCCTCTCGGCCACGTATCTGACAGACTGCACGCTGGTGCCGTACAGATTGTCATTGTACTGTCCCGCCTCGATGAACTTGTGCTCTTGGATGTCCTTCTCCATCTGCTCTCGTGACATCACAAAGTGGTAGTCGCGCCCGTCCACTTCATAATCCCGCTTTGGTCGAGTCGTATCTGTGAATGATCAGAATTATTTCATTAAAATGCAGGTACAATAAATACACAGCAGTGACTACAAAAGCCAGTATGGGAGAAAAAACATTTTAAACAAAATTAAAAGTATGTCTTTATAAAACTGTATATATGTACAGTTTGAATATTCAAAATTAATTTGGGCAAATTAATGAGGTTAAGGGAGCAAAATCCTAATGGGAAATACTGTAAAAACAAGTCCAGAAATGCCATTGATTAAAGGTGTTAAATTGGCAAATAATGTTTGCAGAGAACTCTCACTTCGTCTGTCACGGCATGAAAATTATTATGTCCCTGGTCTATAATTAATGTGTAATTACGCTGTTTGCATTTCAGCAGACAGTGATTATTGTTTTATGTACCTAAGATAAATAAGAGCAAATTTAATTAACAAACATGAGCATTGTAAGGATGGACAGTCAGTTCAGTGCAAACAGCTATAAAAGTGCTCTATTGGTTTGAGCTTTTTAAAGTCAGAATTGTTTATCTGTTACTAAAGGTTACCATGGCAATAATTCCTCCATCTTAATTTATACTTCATTATTGAAAACTATAACTGAGCATAACTTCACTGTTGTTGAAGTTTTACTTATATTTGTAAAAGCAAATTGGGATACAGTTAATTCAACTCACCTTGCTGCCCTGAACTGTTAGCAGCTACACACGGTTTTAAAGGTAAAGATGTGGAAATTAAAGCATGCAAAAATATAAAGAAGACAAACAATAAATAAAATTGAATAAGCAATTAAAAGAAGGGTTTAACTGTAAGGACAAAACACAGCCCCACTGTGTAACCTTTTTAGCCAAAAATGTTTTGTTTAGGATTTTTTTTGTATGTACTTATAAAATGTTGAAAAACCTTCCCTTACTTTGAGAAGGCTTGCATCTCCACAAACCTGACTCTGATTTGGTCCTCTTCCTGCTGTTCCTTTTGCTATTATACTCCACAGTATGACATAAACCTCTAACTTCTTTGTATTTCTTTGGAATCATGCAGATAACATGCCACCCCCGGAAAAGTTACACAATGTTGCTTTAATGATGACAAAGGTTACATACATTTTTGTAGAAGATTACAGTTTCACAAAGGACAACACCCATCACATCCGTGTCCACACACACAGCACGGGGCTCTGGGGAATACTTACGTGGGACACAGGAACCAAACTTTTCTGGAAACTCTGAGATGAGATCGTCATTGATTCGGTCCTTCATCGGTCCCAGGATGATCACAGGTCGGGCGTAACTAACTGGAAGAAAATGGTAAAAAATAAATTGTACAGATGTGTTCCACTGTGTCTTAAAATCATTGTAATCCTATTTTGATGATCATAATTTGCACTATACAGGCTCTAAAACACAAATGCCAAATCTAGAAGGCTTCAGTCTCCATTACTGGGTTAAAAATGTGTTTAAAATCTCAATCTCCAATAGAAATAATGGTTAAATTAAGCATATTACTCTATTTTCTGATCTATTTTATGTTTCCTAAAAGATTGAACAACTTACTTTCTTGCCTCATGACAGATTCATACGAAAGAATGACATCTTCTTGACTCCCTGCATAACACCATGGACAAAATTAGTATTTAAGTAAAGTCCAAAGAGTAACACAAAATAACACAAAGACCATGCATCTGTCAGATCACATGCAGGGCAGCACATGTACTTGTTGTAAGCTTATTATTATCATATGTCTGTCACTTCATGGTGTAAGTAACAACTTTTTCAGGACAAAAAGGTATTTCATTGTGATTTTTTGTGTTTTTGTTTTACTCGCTTATGTTAAAGGTGCACTATGTAACTTTTCTGGTGGATGGACTGTCGCCTGACTTGTTTCCATAGAGATTTTATTGATTTGTCTGGAAAATTCCACAATAAAACATGAACTTATCATACATACGAGCGTTTTTATTGCTCAGAGATGCCTTGATAAACATGCAAGCTTACTGTGAGTGAACTCGCCTCTCAACAGGTCTGACCTGTACCTTGGCCTGATGTTTATCACTATCTGCTTGAAAATAAATATGTTTAACACTACACTGCTGAACTTTCTAGGCAAAGCAATAATGTTTCCATGGAGAAGGACAGGTAGTGGACCCTCCTCCAAAAAAGCTACATAGCCACCCTTAAATATGTATCTTTTTGGTAAACCTATATTTTGTGTTTAACAAAAAATAATAAAAATACAATATTATGAATAGTAAGTTCATGCACCACATTAGAAACCAGAAACAAGGCTGAAAAAATAAAACATGCAGCATCGCAAGAAAAGACTTAAACCAAATAAAACTGCAAAGACAAGATGTTTATTTTAAAGAATCATTCCTCGACCGACTTACTGAATGTCTTTGTGCCATACCCATCATCACCTAATCCCAGGATGTCCTGAAGTCCAGAGGAGGAGAGAAGCACAGAGGCAACACAGGCAGAAGTAAGAAGCGGTCAGAAAGAGCTGTGTGCCATTGGAGTGTCCTGATACTGAGTGGCCACCAGGGGGAGCCACACATAGCGTGTTGAAACTGGGTTGCAGCCTGTGACCAATGAGGTATAATGAAGGCTAAAGAGATGGTGGGTTCTGTCACCGTGGCAATTGCAGCAGCCATCTTGTGAGAGGAGGAAGAGCATAAATCTAATTGAAAATAATATTAAATCAGGGCTGGATGTATATCTGAATTACGAAATTAAAATTCAACCTAAAACACTACACTGATCTCTATATCTCTAGCTGAATTAAAGTTTATGTTTGTGAAAATACCAAATATGGAAACAACTATTAATCATTATTCTGTTGACTTCACAACTATTACTAAAAAATATGCATTTATTAACAAAGATAAAGTAGTAAGATGGTAGAACATTGGCATTAGATAAAGTACAAATATAAAAAACCAAATGATCGGTGTATTAAAGAGAAAATTATAATTCAGTCCGGCTTCCTATGAGAAATTGGGACAAATTCACAATTTCAAACAAAATATTATATCTTTTGAATGAGAAAAAATCCTCAAAATGTTGCATGTAATGAGAACTTGAAACCCATGAATTAGTTTTCATGAGCACTTGAGTATATTTCTACACTCACATCATGGCTGCTGGGACTGTACATTGATTACTATAGGTTACCACGGTGATAATCTCTCTAGCCTTTATTAATACCTCAATGACAGTTAGATTAAGTGTGATGTCACTTCCAGGTCCAAGGCACATGAACTGATTGAAATAACATGTTTACAATTTCCTCTTTTATTTAGCAAAAACACAAAAAGAATTGCAGTTGTTTCGTGCAAAAAAGTTTTTTTTAATGTGACAGAAAGTGTACGAGGTTGAGGTAAGAAGCTAAGATAGGATATATTATGGAAAATAAGAGAGAGATGCAAAACTCCACTACAGGATAAGCTTGTATTTTTGAGTATTCTGAGTCTAAATTTTGCTTTGTCTTGTCAGAAAGTCTGTTTTTCAGACTTGGCAGCACAGATGAATAGAAAAACTCTGCCAGGTTTTTAGAGAGTCCCACTGTTAGTAATCCTATGTTACATACTTGGTTCAATTTGTGGTTAAATATACATTTTTGAAGGGTATTTTTCTCTTGTTTGATGAAAAAGGAACAAAAACAAAGCTAGATTTAAATAGGTAGATAAGTAGGTAATTTGTAACATGTATTGTCTGTATTTTAATTGCTATGGGCCCCATTTATAAGCCAAGGACAGCTTCGAGGGTGTCCCATTTACACACATTTTACTCTATATTTTCACATTTTGTAATAAATTTGTAAAAAAAAACAAAAAACTGTGAAGTTGCTGGCTTGACCCGGAAGTGACATCATCCCTTAATAAACCCATGAAAACACCTCACTCAGACTCAACAACTTCAGTTTGGCCTCCCTCCAGTTGACAAGTCAGCATCATACACTCACTGAAAATGGCCGAGATCCCAGAAAAGAAGGAAGATACAAAAGACGATCGAAAAACAGAAGAGGAGTGGTGTATGTTGAGTGTGTATTTGTGCCCTGCTCTGCCCTGTGCGTGTGCAGTGTCTTTGTCTGTATCTTACTTACTGTCAGAATCACTCCCATCCTGATCACTGTCCTTGTTCTTGTAGAATGGGAACTTTCGTGTGAAGATGAAATTCTTTTTACGTTTATCATTTAGTGGCTGTGAAGGGAGAGAAAGCATGGAGCAAACCAGTGGATCACGGTCATGCAGACAAAACACCCACGTGCAAACTGTAGGATGTCAAGAAGTCTGTATAAAGTCAATTTTTCCATCTAAAAATGTATCAATCAAGCTGTTAACTGTGCAATATTACTAGTGTATGATTTTCTGTTTTATTATTCACATATTATTAGACATATATCTTATGATCATAGTTTTTAAAGCCCAGGTAGTTTTGACCACTTAAAGGTGCACTCAGTCACCTGCTTGTTTCTATGGATAGGTCATATGTCCGCTTGGAATGTTTCACATTAAACAGCTCTTCCTTACATTTATTCAATTACAGGTGGTTTTATAGCTCAAAAATACCTAGAAAACAGGCATTCTGACTGTGAGTGTTGTTGCTTCTTCACAGATCTGACCTGTAACCTGGTCTGCTAATGGTTTGGAATGTGAAACCGAAGCATTTTTCATGTTGATCAAGCACAAATATACCTACTGTTTTACATGCAGAGATGGGCGATATAGCGATAAAAACCCAGTCCCCATCTTATTCTTTAGAAAATATGCTGTTTGGAGGAATGTACAGTTTTATTTGCAGGCTGAGCAAATCAGACAATGAAATAAAAATGTCACTAACAAATATGAGATTCAGTGCGATAAGCAATCAGTCCAAAATGTGGAGACACTGGCATGGCTGTCTTTTAAAATCATAAATGCTTTGTTTTGCAATGTCACTGTCCTTGTCTGCTCTAAAAATAGAATTTGGTTAGGGTTAGAGTTAGGTTATAAAGAAACTGAACTGAACTGGACTGATATCAGCAGATCAGGATACAGTAATTCCATTCCTCCTTTTGGTCAGATGGTCATGCTGTGAGTGAGTGACAGGCAGATTTAACCAATCACAGTGAAGTGTGAACTCCGAAGAGCCACAGAGGACTTGAGTTCACTTTTACAGACAATATAAATAAACAAACTATAAAATAATTATAAACTGTCTTGTTTATAAAATGTTCTATACAAATAAAGCTGGATTGGACATGTGTGGTGGATATTATAATAGTTCTTCTTCTTGACATCCCACAGTTGCAACACTGGCAGAAAATTAAAAGCAAAGTGACAGTTTTCATGCAATACGTTCATGCAGAGAAAAGGGAGATGAGATCTAAATTAAACTGATTTAAAAATGAACATTTGAAGAATTGCAATAGATGCAATGTTTGTTTATTTATTCTTTTGCAATATATGAAACAAAGTGAAATGATGATGTGGTACTGATACATTTTAAAGTAAGAGAAATGCATGCATATTAGGTGGAAACATAATGTTACTCAAATAAGCTTTATATGTGAGAAAAGTAAATGATGTGATGGTGTGACTGATGCCTTCTACTCAGTTCATATCTATCGGGAGTCAAGTTAAAGTGGTTTTGAAGTTTACTACAAGCATCTAGTACTGGTGTCAACATTAATACATTCTCATTAAGTTCCTTCCATATAATCTAGTTAGTGTGGTACTTTAAGTGGCACTTTAGACCCTCATGAACCCACTTACCCCTTTTGAATCGAATGAGCCCGGCTTGGCGTTGAATTTCACAGTCTTTAGTCGTGCCCGCTCTTTCCTCTCCACCCTGCCAAGAAAAAGTACACCATTAACCTCAGCAATGACATTTAGTGGAGGCTTTTCTTATATTAGGGACAATAGATCAACTAATATGGGTTTTTTCATGGCTAATGTTGATACGATTGTTTTGAATCCAGAGAAACTGATGATGTTTAAGCTCTGCCAATATTTTAAGGCTGATAAGGCAGATTTTGATTATTTTGCCTAAGTTATGCGATTTGAATTTACTAAAAACTCACTCACAGCCCTTTTTACCACAATTTTGCAAGAAAGTTGTGTTGTCACATTTAGTGCAGTTATTTCTTTGCATTTTAGTGTTCAAATAAAGCTTTCTGTGTATTCTTTAGGTACCAAGGTGGCTAAAACAAAATACTGGCCTGTGATGGAGATGTAAGGGAGATAGTCAATACACTAAGAAAGGCAAATATGTAATATATCTTATGATCAGGGGTTTTAAACGCCGGGAATTTTTATTTACTTCTTAATTTCTTAAAGGTGCACTATGTAACTTTTCTGGTGAAGGGTCTGCTACCATGGAGCCACCTTTGTGTCCATGGAAACAGCAATTTCCATGGACACCAGTTGACAATTCTGACTGATTGATTGAATATGTTTCACAGCTCATGCATTTTGGTCAGACTCTGGTGGACACTGTCTTATCTTCCTGAAGGGAGGAGCTAACTACAATGAAACTACTCTGAAACTACCACACCTACTTGTTTACAGTTTCTGTTCGTTAGCTAGGTCTATTGAACTGGACTAAGTCGGGACTGTGCCTGAGTCACATTAGCATAATCATTCAGGCCCCTGGTAGGTGCTTTCACACCTCTGGCATCAAAAATGGATTGTCTTTCCCAACAAAAATATATTTGTTAGGAGAGACAATCCATCTTTGAACTGAAATGGAGGGCTCATACATCATCTCTGTCCTATTTACAACTCCATCCTCAGACCTAAATCAAAACAAAGAAAATAATAGTGACAGCTGATTCATGCTCAAAGATGCGAAAGCACCAATCACCTGCCTGAATGATTATGCTAATAAGAGACACAGCTAATATGAGGCACAGTTCTTACATAGTTCAGTTCAATAGCCCTAGCTAATAAACAGAAACTGTAAACAAGTAGGTGTGTTAGTTTTTGTGAAGTGAGCTCCTCCCTTCAGGCAGATATAAGGCAGTGTGCAAAACATATTCAATCAAAAAAATATTTGTCCAGTTCACAGAAATTATTTTCTCTTTTCCTATGGATTCCATATTCCACAATATGGCATTAAGGGTCTCTTATGCACAGATCTGACCTGTAATTTGGCCTGGTGGCATTGTCTCCTTGTCTCCATGGAGATAAGTTACAGGCCATACTATGAAATATTTCAGGCAAAGCAATATCTTCATGGACAAAATGGTGGCAGACAGTCTTCCAGAAAAAAAAGTTAGTGAGATAGTTGATGCGCTAAGAAGGGCAAATATCATCCCGATATATCAGCAAACCAATACTGTACCGATAATTAAAAAGCACAGTCATTTGTGTAGTTTGTTATGAGTAATGACATTCACCACAGCCAGACTGAGGTTGGTATTTTTTATATTTTAATAATATTAATGATTGGTTACAAAATTCTATGTTTAAAATATACAACAGTCCTACTTAGATCATTCTGAACCAAATGGATATAAATGAGTGAAGTTTAGCAAAGCGAGTTAACATATTGCTCATGTTAAGAGTTATAACTTTTTCCTTTTATTACTATTTTTAGTTTTTAGCCCCTAACACTGTTCCCTCATCTTTAGCTTGAATAATTGTGATCATGCATGTTTGAGTAATCCTGTATTGTTCTGCATTTGAAGCTTGAGTGCTGTGAAAATTCCAATTTCACCTATCCCCTATCCCCGCAGAGCTGTAATTACTTAAGATTATTCAAAGGAGTCATACTTATCCAAAATTACTCAATGCCATGAGTTCATGAGAGCTTTTCACAACTTTCAGAAAACACAGCAGAGATTCTCAAATAAACGTAAACGTTGGGGTGTGTTAAACTGACCTCCTCTTGCTGGGGATGACGCCCATCTCCTCGCTGTCTCCGTGTGGTGTGACGCGCCGGGCCTGCCACCACTCGTCATCAGAGGCGTTGATCACGTGGAGGATGTCTCCATACCTGAAGCTTAGGCCTTGACTAGGCAGCCCACTGTCTTTGGCCTTCTCATAGTCAAACAAGGCCCTGTTCAGAGAGGAAGATTAGCAATATTATTAGAGATAGTACAGAGGATAAGCAAATCAAATCATATCTACTGTCAACAGCTATTCTGGTTAAACTTGAGTGCAGCTATTTAAACTCATTTATAATCTGGCACTAGCACTGACAAATGATTGTCTGCAGATGCTGGAGTTAGCTAATAAGAATTTAGCTCACAGATTTATGAGGTTTAAAACAAGTGGATTTCAGCATTGGATCTGGCAACCCAAGTTTTGAATAATCATCTTGAGAACCAAAACCTCAAATTATAACATGAACAACTTGGCCATCATGTCCAAAGTTTTAGTAAGTAAGAATAAATCAGGATTACAATTATTATCTATAAAAGCAATATTTGATTGCACCTGGTATCTGAGAACAACACAGTAAGTCAAGTTTATGAAATTTACGTATGTGTAACTTTTCAGGTGGAAGGTCCGTCAAGTGATTGTCTCCAAGAAGATATTATTGCTTTGGCTGGAATGTTTCACAGTATGATGTTAAATCTTTCTATCATTTATCATGGAGACCAAACCAGGCCAAGTTATGGGTCAGATCTGTAGAGAGGCGACCCCACAGTCAGACTGCCTGATTTTCTAGGATTTTTTGAGCTATAAAACCACCTGTAATTGAATAAATGGGTGTAAGGTAGAACTGTTTAAGATCAAACTGTGGAACATTCAAAGCAGAGCAAATGACATTTAGGTGAAACAAGCAGGTGATGGACCCACAACCAAAAAGTTACATAGTGCACCTTTAATAAATATTTGAATAATTGTCTTTATTTTACTGTGCATTCCTATAAATAAAAAGCCTTTAGTTTGTCGAGAGGTCAGAGAAAAGTGTTATTGGGTGGTCCATAGGGGATGCTATAAAAAGCTCCCACCCTGATTCACACTGCTCATATGTGCTTGTACGGAGCTTTTTTCCATTCAATTCCAATTAGGATAACAGAACCCCATTCTAACTTTAGACATAATTAGAATCACGTGAGGTGTAAATTTACATCTAGAATGGATTTAGCCTGAACACTGGGAACTAGGTTAAAATCCAAACTGGCCTGACCTCACGTAGAGAGACCTCTTCTGATTGGTCCTGAGCGATCCAGACCCCGAGCTCATACTGTGATTCATCATCTGTTCCCGCAGGTCGTGGATCTTGGCCTCGAAGCGTCCATATTCTGCAAGAGAAGAAGTACACGGATCAACAAAGGCAGGCTGGTGTGGAGTAATGCTCCAATGCATGCTGGGAAGGAGGGGCACAACAACAAGTAATATATCTCTCTGAAAAATCAAATAAAACAAAATAATATATACAGTTGTTTTTTCTTTCTATTGATCTTAGAATAAAATATAATAAAAATATCACAGGCAATAAACTGTATAAGTCCTATTTTTCCCTAGTGAATTCTGAAAAAGTTAGAATACTGTCGATTAGGGTTGGAAAAAGTTTTGTTACGCAGATACAAATTGATACTAAAACTAGTACGCAGTATTTGAAGTAATGAAGCTTCAAGTAATTAAGTAATGTGAAGTAGAAAGTGAAAAAAACTCTCCTGAATAGTTTTAAAACATTTAATATTAGCCTTTTCCTTAGTATCAGAGTTGAATTCAGAACCTTTTCTCTGTAGTTTTTACAAAGTACTGGTGAAGTCTGTATTCTGTAGTCCAAGCTATTAAATCCCAGGTATAAGTAGATTAAAGACAGGATAATATCTTCTTCCAATTGCACCAACTCACATTACAAATCTGATTCAACTGCGATATACTGTGCAGCCCAACTTTCTTCCTAGACTGGAATACAATAAAAATGCCATGTCCACTCTTCAGTTCTCAGAAAGTTGTAAGATGCAATTATTATAACAATACTGAAATATAAGGGAGAAAAAGCCTATTAACACCTGATATGCTTGCGTTTTTTTGTGATTTCTTTTTAGACAATACCCTAACTTTTCTAGAACTTGTATGCCAAATAAGGGTCTATATTACACTTTTTTAAACATACCTGGAGTTGTGTTTTGTTTCATTCACACACAAACCCTGCATATTTACGCTGAGTTCTTCTCTCAAACATAAAACACTATGTTCCACCCTGTGATGTCATGTAGTAATACATGAAGTGCACCATTGTGTTTTTAAACTCCATGCACATTCACTTCAGCCCTGGAATTGACAAAAAGTAAAAGGTAGCTGTGAAAACTACCACTTCATGACATCACAAGGGGGTACAGAGAATTTTGAGCTTTGGGATATAGACAAACTAATAATAAAGGAATACTCAAACATGTGTGAATGAAGCAAATCACAACACAAGTCAATTTGTGTAATATAGAACTTTTAAGTCTAATATTATTTAGTAGTTTTCACATTTGTCTTAATTTACATTGTCTTCCTGACCCAGTAGTCCCCATGCGCTGATGTTATGACTTTGAATGAATAGTTCTTGGCACAGTAAGACCATGTCAGGATGTGCAGGTCTGTTACAGTGTTGACAAGTCTGCTCCCCTGACAGTGCACTCAACATGAGCAGAGCAGCCCTGATAACTAACAGTAATGTTTTCTTCTGTCATGAGACTAACAAGGTTTCACTTCCACTGCAGCTGCACAGAGTAGCAGATATAAGCAGAACATTGCACAAATCTCTACAGTAGCAATGATGAGGACATTGTTACTCAAAATACATTTCAAGTAATTTTTGGTGGCTTTTTGGTGCCATTGGCTCCATCCTTGGTCAATCAGAAAGTTTTTTACAGCCAAAAACACAAACCGATCCAATCATCTTTTAGAAAGACAGTTAACTTAATGTGTCCCATAATCAATCAACAAAATGAAGTACAGAGAACATGAATCAAACATATAAGTTAGCTGCACATTAGATTTAACTAAGTAATCATCAAAAGTCAATGTTGAAATGGAGCATACATACCAGCCTGCATGTTGAGCTATGACCTCTCCTCTGGCTTTCTGTCCTATCTCACTGTGTGCTTAGCTAAGGCTTTCTCTGTTTGCTACAGTCCAATAGTGTGAGTGCTGAGTGCAAAGGAGCAGAGAGCACCTCTCTCTCCCCTGTGACTGTGGCCATAAGAAGCACAGCACAGAGGCGGAGCCTAGAGTCGACCAGTGAACCAAACAGAAGACGGTCTATGCAGTATAAACACTTTAGTATTTAGATACGCTTTATTTCATGGTACTTAACTTACTAATAAAATTCTACTTTTGCCCTTTAAAGATATATTTTATCAACACAACAAGACTAATTTACTTTTTAAAAATCTGTAAAAGACACAATTTAAATAATAAAGAAGTCAGTGATTAAAATATTTTCTGAAAACATCATGCTTTCCAGACATCAGAGAAGACACTGGGGACACGGCCTGGGTAGAAGGGCAGGGGTAAAGTCGGGAAAGTGCAGTGAAGACAGGTGCAGTGAGGGCAGGTGCAGTGAGGGCAGATGCAGTGAGGGCAGGTGCATGAGGACAGTTGCAGGTCATGTGGTGAAGGGAACATGACACTGTCTGACAGCATTCACTCAGAGCTCCCAGAGCCTGAAGTGAATGAGCGAACGCTCAGAGCCACAGGAGCCAGGCACAAACCTGGAGCTGGAGATGCAGCGCGCCGCGGAGAGCAAAGAGCAAGTTCTGATGGTGAGAAGAGAGAGACATTAGTCCCACAGCAGGGCCCAGAGTCTGATACGACACACAGGGAAATGAGCTAATCAAACGGACAAGTGTGACTGAACCACTGATGAAGAGAAGTCTGAGTCAGGCCCAAACTCAGAGAAGACTTTGATGTCCCAGAGCGGAGCTCGCCAACACAAACCGCCTCTTATTTTAATCCAGTCACAAAGACAAACGCCACGTCACATCACCAGTGTATAGAACATGAAATTTTGTGTGCTTCATAAACAAAATGCAAACTTTATTCTGTTTATGCTCCTTGCTCTGTGCCTTGTGTTTGACTTTGAAGTGACCCTGAACAGGCCTGTTTCGGTGGTGACTCATTCCAGTGAGTGGACATTGGGAGGTGAGCACCTCTTTGACAGTGCGATCCCTGACCGTGACTCCAGTGTGCACAGCCGTCAGCCTCTTGAGGCTCTGCTCACTTTAATGAGAGGAGACGTGACCAGTCAGAGCTGTCTCATCCGCTGCATGTTCACAACACCACAGTCACTCACTCTGTACTGAGTTTGGACTGGGGGCTGACTGGAACATGCCGTTGTTAGGACAACTACTGTTGAACTTTGTGTGAATTACAAGGTCTGTCCAGGAGTCCCTCTTTTATAAAGTCGCAGTGTGTGTTTGTGTGTGTCTCACCCTCTGGTCTGTACTGGGCGATGATAGTGACCACCTGCCCTGCTCCTTTGAGAGCTGCTGCTGCCTGCTCATGAGTGGCTCCTCGCAGATCAATGCCATTCACCTGGAAATAAAACACAACAGTTTTACAACTCCTCCTGCTATATGCACATAACTAGAATAAAGAAAAGAAAATACATCTTCTTTTCATTTTGATTGTGGGCTGCAAAAACAGAGTAACTGAGGCCTGAGGTACTGAGGAACTTGATCCTTTTTTATCTTTAAATTTGGTAAATTTACAATGAATGGCAAACATCTGAAGTACTTTTTCCATTATTATATATAATCATGGTGACAGGACAGAAATATCATGATGACTGGAATACCAACAACTCATTGGATTTGCATTCCCGTTTCCACATTAATTTAAAAGTGAACCCTGTTCACAGCCAGAATGCCTATTTTTCTAGATATGGTATTTTTGAGCAATAATAGCAGCTGTAATTGAATAAATGTAATTTAATTTAGTCAAGAATCCAAGTATTGAATGAGTTTCACATCTTTCAGTCAAATGAACCATAAAACTTCATTTTGTATTTGCTCATCTGTGCAGATTTCCTCATGAGAATATGTTTAATTTGACCACTCAGTTGACACAGTTATTTTTACGTTTGGTTGAGTTGTTGTGGAGAGGACAACAGAGCAGAGGCAGCCAACCAAACACCTCCAGATGTGAATGCACAAAAATCATGTTAGATGAGAACAGTAAAAGTTATCAGCTGCACAATTTTAGAAAGTTTAATAACAATAGATATAGAGGTGAGCGACTGCAGTTAGATTTTTGTAAGATAGGTAATATCATGTTCATAATGCTTATTTCAAACATATTAAAGAGCATGAACAGTTTAAGCTGCACTGTGTAACTTTTTGGTGGGCAGTCCATCACCTGCTTGTGGATATGTCATTACTCTGCCTGGAATTTCCACAGTGTGACATTAAACAATTCTACCTTACATTTATTCAGTTACAGGTGGTTTTATAGCTCCAAAATACCTAGAAAACAGACGTTCTGACTGTGAGTGGGGTTCCCTCTCCACAGATCTGACCTGTAACTTGGTCTGATTGGTCTCCATGAAGATAGAAAGGTTTAATACTACACTGTGAAACATCCAGTCAAAGCAAGGACATCCCCATGAAGAAAAGCATTTGACTGACCCTCTACCAGAAAAGTTACACAATGCACCTTTATGCAAAAACTGCAATATGAACTAAAGATGCACCAACACCAGAAAAGATATCAGTGCCCGTACTGAAAAACTGTATTTTATTAATTTTGACTGATAAAAAAACACATTTTTACCAACTTCAGCTCAGTCAATATTAACATGTGATATCTAATTTTAAAGAATTACAATTAGATTTATGATTTATGTTTTAATAATATGACTCTGTTCAAACTTCAAATTTTAAACACATCCAGAAGAACTGACAAAAATGAAATATGAACTGAAAAATACAGATCTTTATAGAGATCTAAACTACAAGGCAAGCAGTTTTTATGCAAGATATGACAGGATAGTTTGTTGTTTGTGGAGGAAATTATGGTACTTAAAAAAAAAACAAAAAACATTTAAAACTATTGGGATAGGACATTTTAAGTTTTTTAAACTTCATCCTACTCCTTTTGAGGTCCCAAATATGAACATGCACTTATCCTTTTTTTTATTTTTTATTATTGTTTATTTTCTTTTCCCTTGCTCAAACAAATAAAATGAATAAAAAGATTGCAGCTAGCGTTCATTCAAATTACAATTTCAATTTGATTGTGATTCATCCTACAACCCTAAATTGTACCTGTACTCAAAGTGCAATTTTCGATTTGAGCCCTATCCGTGTATATACTCTATAGGCAGAGGAGGGAGAGTTATTCTTAGTCTTCAAAACCAGGCCAGTGTGGGAAGTCTAACTGTCGTCTTTCATCAGGGCAGACACTGGTGCTGAGAGGTGCCAAGTGAAGTGCCAGTCAGTGCCATGTTAGTTTAACTAAGTGTAGCATAGCATATACAAGGGCAAATGAAACAGAACCATGTAATTTGTACTGTGTGGGAGGCAATAACTATTATCCATAATGAGGAGGGACACTCATTTCCTTTAAGCCAACGCCCACTGTACTGTTTATATATACTTAGACTGGTTATACTTTGTGTTTTGAGGGCTTTAGTTAAAGAAGCACTATGCAACTTCTCTGGTGGAGGGTCTGCCACCAGCTGGTTTCCATGGAGATTTTGTTGCTTTGTCTGTAATAAACTTATCTATCTTCCATGTGTTCAATTTAGGGTTGTCAAAAAAGTAAAAGTAAATAAAAGTATTGAAAATCAGATACTAATCAATGCTAAAACTAGTAAAGAAAGTACAAACTCATTTAAGCAAGTATCTTGAAAAAACAAAACAAACACACACAAAAAAACATAACTGAATAAAAATACCCTTTCTAAACAGATGAGATTTATCAGCACTAGTGTAAGACCGCACGGTATAATAACACACAAAACTGCAATTTTACCTAAAAAAAGAGCTTTTAAAATTATCTCAGTATCGAGTCTATCCTTAAGTATCAAAATCAAGTTTGAAATTTTTGTATTGTGACAACACTAATCTAACTCTCCATTTATATTGCTCAAAAGTGCCATAAAAACGAGCTCATTCTCATTTTGAGTGGGTCGCCTCTCTAAAGATCTAAATTAACTCTCTGTGCAGATAACATTCCATTCTGTAGACCATTCTTACCCAAAGCAATAACATCTAACTTGGAAACAAGTAGGTGACAGACCGGAAAGGTTACACAGAGCACCTTTAAAATGGAGGATCCGCTGTCAGCTTTCCTCACAACCTCTTATATATAGCTGAGATATTTTATTACTTATTTTCTATTTTATTTTTATAGTTTTATAATTATGCCTTACTTGACACCTGTTTCTTGCTATCTTTTTTTGCTACTGATTTAGAATGTTTTATTACCATTTATACTTTTTTCTTTGTTGCTCTTTGTTATTATATTATATTGTGATGTGTGAGCCACTGTGTCCAAATAATTTCCCTTGTGGATCAATAAAGTTTGTCTAAGTCTCTATGGAGCTGTTATTGCTCTGCCTAGAATGTTCACCAGTAAAGTCTGGGGTTCACTGCACAATTTTTTTTGTCTTATAAGATTGCTGGATGTCACATTACATGACGTGGGGAATTTAAATAGTATGACGTATACATATATTATACACATCTATCTCCATGGAGACAGAGGGACAGGAGGCTCCACCAGGCCAAGTTACAGTGAAGATCTGTGGAGAGACCACGCCGCTTACAATAAGAATCCATGTTTCTGTGGGTATTTCTTAGCAATAACAGTACTTGAAATTGGAGCAAATGCAAAGTACTTAAGTATAATGCTGTACTGTGGAACATTCAAGACCTGTACCTAATGTATTTGTATGCATTTAAAAATACATCACAAAGACATTATAAAGTTCTTACTGAGTAGTTTACTCATGTAAGTTTCAACAATATACACATATAGTGGTGATACAGAATAAATAGAGATAACTGTTTGGCATCTTTATAACTGTCAATGTTAAAATAAGTTCTTATAAAAAAAAAAGTCTTATAAAAAATAACAAGATTAAATATTTACAGATGATACTAGTAACCTAAAACTAACCAATAATACATTCAAACTTGATGCTAAATGTTAGTTGATACTATCTGGACTTACAGATAAGATCTGGTCTCCTCTCCGCAGCTCCCCGCTCAGGTCGGCCGGTCCTCCAGCCAAGATGAACGACACAAAGATGCCCTCTCCGTCCTCTCCGCCCACGATGTTGAATCCCAGGCCGGTGGAGCCTTTGTGCAGTACCACCTTCCGTGGCTCTCTGTACAAACAGGTCAGATAGTACATGAGATCAGGGGAGTCTGTGGGCTGGAGCATGGTGGAGAAGGAGAGGAGATGGAGGAAAGAGGAAACAGAGGAGGAGAGGACCAGACAGGTACAAGATCCGAGTGTGAGTGAAGCTCCAGATACTGAGCTTCAGCAGTGACTCGCTCCACAGGGGACGCTGCTCCACTTTAGCGTCACTGTCCCACATTCACTTTTGACAAGAGAGGATCCACTCTGTTTAACACACTTCTGATATCTTTGACCAAAACCATTTAAAAGTGAATGCTATGTCAAACTGTATAAATCGTGCTCTATTACTGTACTAAAATAAGGAACTACAATTACAAGGTTGCTAGTTCCTCAACCTGCATATAGAGGACACATACAGGGTTTCCTTATTGTCAGTAATGGACAGGCCAGGCCTCATGTGAAAGAACCTCCAGAACTCAGAGCGGCAGAGGCTGCACTAGCACTGATTAATATTGGCTGCTGGTGCTTGCCTGAGGTAGAGACCATTCAGATCAGAGAGATCTTTTATGTTTAAACAATTGGATTTTAGCACAAGAGCTGACAACCTAAATAAAAAACTCATGTGAATCAAAACACAACATTATAACAAACTACATGGTCATCATGTCCATTGATTTTATGAATAAAATTAAATCAATATTACTATTGTTATCAGTTATATTTGATTCAACCATGCCTACCTTCATATCTGGGGACACAGATGGGTGATGTATGACATTTAAAATCAAATACTGTCCCTTTAATGTTGCATATGCATTTACATTTACAAACCAATACTAAAATATTATTGAGTAAACATGCAAAACACATTAGATAGCTAGAAGCTTGGCTGAGAGTGATAGGAGTTTGTGGCAGACATCAAGGAGCCATCCATTTCTGGTTATAAATTAATACTCAACAACATGAGGGCACACTGCTTCATCTTCTGTACCACACTGCCACCTACTGGAGGATTTCTAAACTACATAAGCAGTCCGTGGCATACTTTACATAGTATTGAGTCCTCAAGGCTTTAATGACATTTTATTCAAATATACATATACATTATAATGGCTGCTCTGGGCATACAGGATGCAAATCACAGCAAACAGCTTACATATTTTTTGCTACTTGCTACTTCCCTTCTGGTAAAAACACCACTAAAATGAACACAGTCAACAATTTATATACCTAGATTGCTAAATCTTTTTTGCATGTTTCTCCACATATCCTCCAGGGACAATAATCCAGCTAAGGCAGTCCTGACCAAGACTAGCTCAAGATCTGGACATGGGACATCTGCTGCTGATGAGGTGCCCCAGTGGGACTGAAGGATGGGACATATGCTGAGAATAAATTTCCCTATGGGGATAATAAAGTGTATCTTAACCTGAACACTAGATTGATGAGTATTGATAATTTGCAGCTGATATCATCAACATTCCCTGGGAGTGTGAAGTTAACTTAAAGAATTATTCTGTTAGAAGCTCTGTTACTCAAGTTAGTGACTTTAATCTGATCTTTATTTTAACACAATAGGACAAGAAAGACCTGATTTAGTTGGAACTATCTGAGCTGATTTGTGCTCTTAAAAAAACACATAAAATTACAGTTTTTCAGTTAGTCGGATTAATCTGTCAGAGAGACGCATGGTCCATTCACGTGAAAAACAAACATGGATGCTTACATGACTCGGGTAAGAGAAGTTATTTGGTTCTTAATAATGCAAACATTTTCAAGAGGCAATGTCTTCTGTATTTGAGAAACACATGCTACAAATTAGAGGCTGTGGTTGGACAGTTTCAAGTTTGGACAGAGGATTTTCACGCTCTATAGTCCGATAGGAGGGACTGGCCGGTAAGGCAAAACAATAGTGCACCTTTAAACTAATGAAATATATATTGAAGATTAAAATAAAGTACTGCTAGAATATTAAAAGACATTTCTAGTTTCCAGTTGGTGTCCCATTTTATATAGCACCTGACTCCTCTTTCTACTGCTGAATAACTCAAGAAGCAATCTCCAAGCTGCCAGTGGTGCCTTCTTATTGTTCGACCCTGACCGCTCCTCTCGGCCCACAGCACTAGGTCAGGGCAGGGAAATATACGCTCATTTTTACTTCGCACTGGAGGAGAATAAAAACATCACCAGAGGATGATTTAAGGGGCGCCGCAAAGCAAGACGTCGCATACTTCATAAAGAGGACATAAAACTGGACCTTTTCTAATGGATTCATTTATCTGCTCCTCAACTCATTATAACTTCATAAATAATTCAATTCATGAGCTGAAACTGTGATGTGTTTAGGCAAAGAATAGAAGATTATGCATGGTTTTATACGCACATTCTTTGTAACTTATTATTTAGTTTGGGTTGATACTTTGCAGCTGATATCATCCACATTCCCTGGGGGTGTGATGCTAACTGTAGGCACTGTTCTGTCTGAAGCTCTGTTACTCCAGTCAGACATTAATCTGAGTTTTCATTTAAGACAATCTGAAAAGAAAGAGATGACTTGCATGAAATTACAACAAGTGAGCTGATTTAAACAAGCCTCTCACATGTAAAATTACAGTTTTTTAGTTTGTCACTCTCAGCCTTTTGTTGAAAATCAAAGGATCAGGATCATAAACGCTCATATTGATCACAGGCTTCTGAAAATGTGTTTCTTAAATCAACATTTTTCTTGATTTTTCAGACAATCTTAAACTTTTTGTCTGTGTTTGCTAATGTGTGCATTGTATCACCATAGTAATGAACATTCCCATCTATAAACATACACGTTAAACACCCCCAGCACGATGTCACTGCAAAATATCAATACTATAGGAAAAAAATTTATCACTTTATCATGTAACTTAATTCATTTATCTTATTAGCCTTAATAAAACATTAGCTCAGACTTATTTCATAATGAACAAACCAAGATTCAATCAAAAAGAAAGTGAAAGTACCCACTTCAAAAAACTTTTCTCGTGACAGGCACAGAGTATCAAAGAGTCCACCTCATGCAGCAACAACGCATGAATGTTTTGACAGTCCATTTCAGTTTCATGCATGAAAGAAGAAAAACTCAACTAATTTGTGTGTTAAATAACAAAATGTTTTAATTTTCTAAACACACTGTCAACTTTTTGACTTTTGTCAGTCTAATAATGATTTAATCCTGCTACAATCTGGTATTTATCTTATTGTGATGCAGTGTTTTTCTGGGAAGCCTTATCCTCAAAGAGACCTGACCACTTCTCTTATTGGTCAATCTGGATCATTTTGAGTGACAGGCAGATTGATTTAACCAATCACAGTGGAGTGTAAACTCTCAGTAGCAGTAGATAGCTCTAGTTACCCCTTAATGTAGGATAAAAAGAGACTAACTGCATGAATATTGATCTAATCTAATCTCAAAAAAATCGTGATGCGATTTATTTATTTTTTTGTTGGTCAGCCCACTCTTAGTCTCAATTCTTCACCCTCCAGCATCTATAATATAATACTCTTCAGAAAAATTAATGAGAGGAAACTATTTCACTACACATCACCTTGCTCATTATACATTTGCAAAACTTTTCTAACTCTAAAAAGTCATGATGTGATTTTTTTTTTCTTTTTGGCATACAGCCCACTCCAAGTCTCAATTCTTCAGTCTGTATTTGTGAATGATAAGCCCAGACCTGAGCCTGAAGGGTGAGTAAGAACATGGACAAAAAAACTGCACAAAATGAGACAGACACACAGCAGCTCAGAGACAGAAGCAGACACCATGAATACAAAGGGAATATGTTCACATAGACCTGAGTGGATCATGCTTTTTCAGTGGTGGAAAGTACAAAAATGAACATACTGTTCTCAAATTAAACATTTTAGCTCTCTGTAGTTGACTTCAAGTGCATATAACAGGCTGAACTGCTAATTTCACTGTAACATAGTAAACATAATTACGGGCAGCTGATGTGACATTTATTTTGGATAGCTCCTTGAGATACGTCATCCCTTTTTCAGTTCTGGTTGGTGATTTCCTTGCATTTTGGATAGAATATTCTGTGTTAATGACGTAGATAGAGGTATTCTGTTGTAACGACCTTGCTGAGTCTAATGTAATGTCTGCTACATTACATTTATTCAGTTATAGGTGGTTTGTAGCTAAAAAATACTAAGAAGAACAGGCATTCTGACAGATCTGGGTTGCCTCTCCACAGATCTGACCTATAACTTGGTCTGGTTTGGTCTCTCTTGAAGATAGAAAGGTTTAATGTCATACTGTGAAACATTCCAGACATAGCAATAACATGTCCATGGGGAAAAGCAATGGACGGACCCTCCACCAGAAAAGTTAAACAATGCACCTTTAAGTCTTAGAACTCACCACTACTTCTTGTATTTTTGTACTTTTATTCTCCACTTGTCTCCCACTATGTGCCATTTGACTAATGTACAAGTACGCTAAAAAAAAAGCCTGTCATATGCACTTTAAGTAACACAACTTCGTACTTCTTCCACCACTGCTTTTTCACAGCACACGATGGGTCTGAGGAGGACACAGTGACAGTGACGGTGATGGTGTGGAATACCTGCTGAAATCCAAGTCAGGGTACAGGCTTAAGTGATAGTTGGGGAAGGGGACGGAGTGGAGCAGGCTTTTGTCGCCCTCTAGTGGGGAAAAGTGTCGGGGGGAGGGTGCTTTGTCACATAGTTTGTTCACAGTGCTGTAAACGGGTTCTGGAGGCCTACAGTGGAGCGAAAGACAAGAGCAGAGACAGGTTAGTGCATGGACACACAGGGGCCAGAGAGAGAAGAGAGATGAGAGAAAGAGAGAGGAAAGAGAAGAGAGAGAAAGAGAGGCGCACTGGGAGAAGACAAATGAGACATAGATATGAGACAGATATGGCGGGAGCAGTGGTATAGACACACAGCATTGGAATAGCAGGGAGAAAATTGTACATAGAAGACGTTTGACATGGACAGAATGGTGATTTTAAGCTTCCTTTT